TTTTCACCTCATATGCTCTTTAGAGGTCACAAATAAATCTATGGGTTCTTTCTTATCTGGATATGTTAGTCCGAAAGTGTCAAAATCTATCTTAAGGTCCCAAATTAGACCAATGGAGTTCTGTCTGCTATATTTTAAACTAATAAATAAGTGCTTATGAGTGATATCATCTTTTAAGAATTTTGATTTTGCTTTGTTGATTAATAACTTTATCATTAAATAAAATCAATAAAATGCACTTTATAGCGATATCACATATACATTTCAACCTCGACTTTTCAATTACTAAAAAAGATTGGAGAGTCCATTAGCTCATGAATCATGATAATTTATTTTATATCTCTAAATAGAAATCAATTTTTTACTCTGATGTTTGCATTAATCAATCCGGCATTCTCTTTTCTGCTTCATCCACCACCACTCGTGTGGAGGCTTCTCTCTAAGTTGGGATGCTCTCATACTGATGTATTTTACATCCCACGGTTTTGGCAGATCGCTTAGCCTCGTCCATCTTCGGCACAAGAGCGCTCAAAGGCCATTGAAAATCCCAAAATGAAGTTGTATATCAAATTCGAAAAACATCTTCTCACCTGTTTCCAACTCACTTTTCGCTTTTGAAGTTGTATTTAAGTACATTCAAGTATGAACACTTTTTCAAATATTCTTTTTTTGCAAAAAGTATAACCAAACACAACTATATCGTCACTCCAGTTTCATGAATTCCAAACAAAGTGAAAAATATTTGGAAGCTATGACCAAATGCCTACCAAGAGTTTCTTTTGGCTTTTGAGTGGTCAGTAAGTAGGTGATTGAAGGCTGTCTAGTTCCCTTATTAGTATGGTTATTATTACTTTCCTACTATCATATATTTTTTCTTAGTTTTAGTATTACATGTTATTTCCTTTGCTTGGTTTTCATATTATTTGTTGCTTCCGTTTGCTCTCTTTTAAATATTTTCAGTATGACTTCTTCGCTATTGCATTTGCTTTACATACTTGTTTTTTGATACTTGAGCTGAGGGTCTATGGAAAACAACCTCTCTATCTTCACAAGGTAGGGGTAGGTTGTGCATACACCATCCTCCCCTCCCTAGACCTCACTTGTGATTACACTAGGTATGTTGTTGTCAGTTGGATAAAGAGATGATTAGCAATATGTCTGCACACTTAATTAAGTTGGATGCATGCAAATTCAAATGAGTTGAGTTCCTCATATGAGTGCTGATGCATCATAATCTCTAGAATCATCCTTCTTACATGGCATCTCACACGATGAACGAAATAAGATAACTGTATTGGAGGAACATTGACACTGGTCATTTTTAAGTTTTTCTTTTCCTGACTTTTTTCCTGTTTGGCCTTTGAAGATTTATGCCATGGTGAAGGGAAAGCTTATTTTAATTTGTCAGTCTGGTGGTGAATTTGTGAATGATGTCGATGGAAACTTGTCATATAAAGGAGGAGAGGCAAATGCTGTCAATATAAACCAAGATACTCCATATGATGATCTCAAGATAAAATTGGCAGAGCTGTGTAATCTGGAGCTTACGACAGTGTCAATTAAGTATTTTCTTCCAAAAAATAGGAAAACTCTTATTAATTTAAGGAGTGAAAAGGACTTCAAGAGAATGGTTGAATTTCATGCTAATTCTGTTACAGCTGAGATTTTTGTCAGCGGAAAAGAAGGTTTTGATCACGATGCATTGAACACGTACAATGAGAGGTATTAACACTATCATGTTTTAATTATGCATATACATTAGTTTTGCTTATTGATAAATGTGATTTGGTAACACGGGCCTGTTGCCAGCAACTCTATATTACTGCTAAAGCAAATTGTTAAGTTAATGGCACATCACTGGTAGTGTAGTATATATGTAATTGACATCCCGTTTGGTATCTCAATCAACTGCACTTGCAGGACAATTGCCTTAAAACTGGCTGAGAACGTAAATCATCATGGCACACCTGCAGGTGCTGCTGATTCTGGCGGTCTGAGTACAACACCTTCTAAGGCTAGCCTGCTAAGGACTGTTCGAACAGCTGCTGTCTCTCCTATAGCTATTCAAAACGATTGTCTGGTCGATGTACATATCAGCTGCCAGGAACCTGCTATTAATATGGCAGCTGAAAGCCTCAGTCAAACCACTACTTCGTCAAACCCTTCTTCTGGCCATGTTGCTGAGGAGGATTCTGACTATGCTCCACGTTCACGTGCTGCTGTTAGTAGTACTGCCCAGAGCCCAATTAGCTTTGACTACGATGCTACCCCTGCTGATACCGTGAAGAAGCGCAGGCGCACTGCTTCCTGGAAAATTGGTGCCAATGGTCCAACCATTGTTGTGACTGATAATGATTCTAAGGAGAAATCGCGAAAGAAGAAGAGTCGAAGTTCAACTGGCGTAATGGTGGGAAATGACATGGAGGATGAAGATGGTGTTGAATTACCTGATAATTTTGACAGTTCCTCTCCAATTACTTTGCGGGATGAAGATCTGCCAGAGAAGCTAGTTGCCACTTGGAAAGAGGGTATTACTGGTGTTGATCAGGATTTTAAGAGTGTGAAAGAGTTCCGGGCTGCACTGCAAAAGTATGCTGTTGCTCATCGCTTTGTCTACAAGTTGAAGAAAAATGATGCTACCCGTGTAAGTGGCAGATGTGTGGTAGAGGGTTGTTCTTGGAAAATTCATGCATCTAGGGTCCCTGATGCTCAAACATTTAGGATCAGAAAGTATAATGATTTGCATACATGTGAAGGCAAATCCTGGAAGTCTTCTCATCGTACAAGGAATTGGTTGGTAAGTATCATCAAGGAAAGGTTACGAGATTCTCCAAATGACAAACCCAGGGAAATCGCTAAAAGCATTTTGCGTGACTTTGGGATTAAATTGAGATACTCACAAGTATGGCGAGGAATGGAAGATGCCAAGGAGCAGCTTCAAGGTTCATACTCAAAGTCATATAACAGGCTGTCTTGGTTCTGCGAAAAGGTAGTAAATACTAATCCTGGAACTGTTGTTAAGCTTGTGCTAGACGATGAAAAAAGACTTCAGCGCTTCTTTTTTTCACTTCATGCCTCCATTCATGGTTTCAAGCACGGTTGCCGACCCCTTATTTTCCTTGAAGCCACATCTCTAAGATCAAAGTACAAGGAGACTTTAATAACAGCAACTGCGGTTGATGCAGATGATTGTTTCTTTCCTGTTGCTTTTGCAGTAATAGATATTGAAAATGATGATAGTTGGCGTTGGTTTTTGGAGCAACTAAAATCTGCATTGTCAACTTCTCATTCTATAACTTTTATTTCAGATCGAGAGAAGAATTTAAAGAACTCTGTGTTTGAGGTGTTTGAGAATTCTTCTCATGGCTATTCCATTTTTCATCTTCTGGAAAGCTTCAAAAGAAATATGAAGGGTCCATTCCATGGTGATGGGAGAGCTGTTCTACCTGAAATTTTCCTTGCTGCAGCTCATGCAGTTCGACTTAATGGTTTTAAAAGTTTGACTGAGCAAATTAAACAGATTTGTTCACACGCATATGATTGGTTGAACCAGATTGAGCCCGAGTGTTGGACGAGTTTGTCATTTAAAGGTCAGCACTATAACTATATCACAGAGAATGTTGCAGAACCATACTCCAAGTTGATTGAGGATTCTCGAGGATCAACAATAATGCAAAAGATAGAAGCCCTAATATGTATGCTCAGTGATCTAATAGATCATCGTAAATTGGAGTCAAGTACTTGGTCCACCAAACTTACTCCATCAAAAGAGAAAAAGATGCAGAAAGAAGCTGCTAAAGCCCACGGTCTAAAAGTTCTAATCTCTTCTGATGTCTTATTTGAAGTTCATGATGAGATGACTCACGTTGTGAATATTGAAAACCGTGAGTGCACGTGCTTTGAGTGGAAACAAAGTGGTCTGCCTTGCTGCCACGCTGTGGCTGTGTTCAACTCTATTGGTAAATCTGTGTATGATTACTGCTCGAGTTACTTCACGGTTGAAAGTTACCATTTTACATACTCTGCATCTGTAAACCCGATACCTGGGATTGGAACAGCAGATGAAGAAGATGGCGAGTCAGATACTGCAGATGTGCTACCCCCTTGCCCTCCAGAATTGCCGATAGAGGAAAAACCAGAGCAGACCAAAACTATGGACCCAGATAAGAGGACAGTAACTTGCAGCAAGTGCAAGGAACCAGGACATAATAAAGCTTCATGCAAGGCCACTTTATAGATCCTTTGCTCCCCCCATTGTTTGCATCTTGTACAGCTCTTATAGTTACATGGTAGTGACTTGTGATGTATTGCTCATCGTCGCGCTCTGAATTTCTACAGTACCATTATCGATTTATTTTCATTTGAAAAAACATAATTTCTGGGTTATTGAACTCAGAAAGCAAGGTGTAAGATAAGACGATGGTAGTACTATTTTTGGTCTCAAAAGGGTATGAAAGCTCTTCTCATAGCTTGCAAAAATGAATTTTATATTCAGACGATGAGTTTGCGAATTGTTGTGTTACACGGCATGTAATAAATTCTCATTTTTTTTTACTAGAAGTGGGAATTGTTTTGCTCCATTCACAACGAGGCTCAAGCATCTCATTCTTTTAGTTAATTTCATCCTTTATTTAATCAATTGATATCTGTGATTTACCTAGTTAGGAATTTTTTACCAAGATTTGAACTCGAATTAGATGGTCAGAAAATCTTATATATGTTTTTACCTATATTTTTAAAAGTTTGAATTCAGTGGGAGACATTGTTGTACTTCTTATCTTTTTCTTGAAAATCTTTGTAAAGTAATTTTTTCTGACTTGTTCAAATAAACAAAAGATGAAGTGATGAAAATGTTAACATCGTTTGAAACCAAAACTGAAAAGAAAACTCCACTCAATTTATGATAATATATGTGAATTTTCTATGACGTAGGTTTTCCTATTTATTTTTAAAATTTTTCATAATTATTCAATTTTTATCCAAACTATTCGAGACTCAAATCAAATTGTGTATTTAGGATTTGTTACCAACCAACCCAGAGTACCTAACAACACAGCCTTCACCTACCCGCCACCCACCCACCCATGAACTTATACCTCTGCTCTTCTCCTTCAAGTGTTTCAACACAAAAACTAAGTCCAAATTTGAGTCACCAAAATCCTTCATTTGATTTGAGTACAATTTGGGAGATTTAAAGAAAATGTCCCTTACTGATTCAGTGCAGAACAAGCAGCTTGGTGTCATCACCTGTAAAGGTTGCATCTTTGAATACCGTTTATTTTTTTTATTTTTTTTTCACTTTCTTCTTCTCTCTTGATCAAGAATCTGATTTTGAATGAACCCCATTTTGAGTTACATGTGTGTATCCATTCCATTCAGCTGCTGTGGCATGGGGACCGGGAGAACCAATGGTGATAGAGGAGGTGGAATTGAGTCCACCTCAGTCAATGGAGATTCGTGTTAAGGTTGTCTGTACTTCTCTCTGTCGTAGCGATGTCACTGCTTGGTTGTCACAGGTTTGATCTTTACTTGATCTCAAATTTTTTCCCAGTAGGTCAACTGTCTGTTGCCAATTTTAGGATTGCATATACTAGGTGTTACTTAAATGTCAATAGAAAAATGCTGGACTGGGACTGTTGTAACCTGTCGTTTCATGAGCATAGAAGGAAATTTTATGCTATTGAAGTTTTAAAATTTGTTGATCATGATAAAGAGGAACTATTTCTGCAAATATAATATTGGGTGCTCAATATGGGGAACTTGGACTTCATTTTTTTTGATGACCATGGTGTCCGGCCAGCTTGCTTGCACCTCGACTATTCTTCGGGATGCCTTCCACCTCGTACTAGCAACATGTACTAGATAACTCTGTCCACGAAGGCCAGGACAAGTGTGAAGAATCACCTACTGGAGACGATCTGCTTTCTTAGAGATATAGTGAGGGTCTTAGCTTAGAAAACTAGCAAACTTATCAAGATAGCAGTTTCATCTGAATCTCAATTGGGTTTGTGGAGAAAATAGTTTGATTCAATCTCATTGTGGGTTTTCCAAAGTAAAATCCTGAAGTTTTAGGGGGTGGAGGGTAGATGAGGGCATGTAAAACAGTAAAGGCTCAATCTTGGCCACTATTTTCACTTTATCTACTCTTTTTTCTCATTTTGGCAAGTTTTGTACTTCTTTTCTGAGGAGCCCACCAGAATTACTTTCTTATTATTCACGCCCGTTAGTGAAATTTGTTGTCGTTTTCCAGGCTCAGGCTTCTATATATCCTCGGATATTTGGTCATGAAGCATCAGGGTCAGTTTTCTATACCTGCTCCTTCTATTTGAATGATAATGCTTCTTGTGTGTAATTTAAGTATGTATCCTGCTTCTGATAGAAGTTATTAAATGCATACTGAAAATTTTTAGAGATAATTCAGAGTTTTGGTACATGTCTTGAGGTGGTGATGCTTCTCCCCAAGGGACTAACGATTACGTTGTGAGAAAGTATAAATGTAACTTTGTGTTGGAGTTGTCAGTTTGTCAAACATGTAATGCTTTCATCTCGCGGTTTCATCACCCTAAGTGTCTTCATTGACCGACTCATCAGATGCTCTGTCCATAAGAAAAGCATTCTATCATAGACTGTGGCATCACTTAGTGTACTCCATAGAGTAAAATGAACATACTGCAAACTTCTGTGGCCACCTTGGAGTGCAACAGACGTGGTTGATGGATTTAATATTTTGTCATTTCTGAACAGAGAATCAAGCTTCATTCTTGTTACTCATTTTGCAGGATTGTTGAGAGTGTTGGGGAAGGAGTGACTGAATTTGTAGAAGGGGACCACGTGCTTACCTTATTTACTGGGGAATGCAGGAGTTGCAGACACTGTACCTCAGGCAAAAGCAACATTTGCCAAATTCTTGGATTGAAACGAGATGGTGTTATGCATGGTGATCAAAAGACGCGGTTCTCTATAAAAGGAAAGCCAGTTTATCATTATTGTGCTGTTTCAAGTTTTAGTGAATACACAATTGTACACTCCGGTTGTGCGGTCAAGGTTAGCCCGATTGCGCCTTTGGATAAAATCTGCCTTCTTAGTTGTGGAGCGGCAGCAGGTAATTTGTGGAATGCTGTTCAATTCAATCACAGCTGATCTTTTTATACTACTTTATTACTCTTAAGATTATTTTGCTGTTAAAAACTCTTGACCCAATGATGGAATTTGGCTACCCTTTCTGATGGAAATTGTTTTCTTCAATTCCTCATCATACATGTATGGTTTTACTGAACTATACTAAACTCATTCACATCAAAGAGGATCTTTTTGAGATGAACAACTAGTATTCAACTTACTTTTGTTTGATCAAGAGTATTCTTACTTGATGGCATCATAGACAGTCTTAACGTTTAAAATGTTTCTGTCAAAAGGTTAAATCCTTCCTTAGCTCTTAGATGTTACATTCATTCTTAACATATTTATACTTGTATAACTTGGCAATCCATAATGTTAACTTGTTGTTCAGAACATTCCAAATGTAAGGACCTCATAATTGAAATGCAATTATCAGGTCTGGGTGCTGCTTGGAAGGTTGCAAACGTCTCTGAAGGATCAAAGGTGGTCATTTTTGGTCTTGGGACTGTAGGACTTTCTGTAAGTACATTGATCCAAGCTGAAGAATTAGCATAATATGGGAAAACTGTTTACCTGGAAAAACTTGACAATGATAAATAATAAATGCTTAGATATCGTGTAAATAGGTTGCACAAGGTGCTAAGATGCGGGGAGCATCTCAGATTATTGGTGTGGATATGAGGCAAGAGAAATGCGAAAAAGGTATCACATGACAGACCTTTTACAGCAGTTGGAAAGTTGAAAAGTTTCCCGAGATTATTGATGTTCTTCCCTTCCTGTGCAGCAAAGTCTTTTGGAGTGACGGACTTTTTGAACCCAAATGATTCTGACGAACCCATTCCACAGGTGTTTTACTTTTCATGAAATATACAACAAAAGCTTGTAAATTAGTTTCTTTCTCCCAGCTAATTAGTCACAAGTCTTACCAATCATGTTAGCTGTCTTGAACAACATGGGAGCATTACAACAACAGTTTCTACATCTCAGTATCACGCTAGTTAGGCCGACAATATGAATTTTCATAACCCAATTTTCTGTGTTTGGATATGTTTCGTTGAAATACACAATGATTTCTGGATTATCTAATGCTAGAAGTTTTCTGCATTTTCTAATTTCTATATGGTGCAATCTCCAAACAGATTAAAAAGACTTGTAGCAAATAGTAGACCTAATATAAGTTTTACCAATATGATTAATCTCTAATCCAACTAGTTGGTATCGCCTATATGGGTCTTTTGCTTCCTTAAAGACTACATTTGAGTGGCCGTTGGTCTATAAAGACAATTTCCTTCTAGGTGGTCTTAGGTCTGCTTGATGAGAAGAGAGAAATTAGTTCCATTATCAAGTGCAAGACGCCTCTCTCTAACCCAAATCGACCTAGACTAATACTCTCCCTTTTTAACTCCTGGTACCATACTTACAGATTGGTACACTGGAGATCAACATAGTACACGATCAGATCATCCTCTGCGTGTGCTACTTGCACATTCACTGGATGTGATAATTGTTTTCAATCTTATATGAACACATTTCCATATAAACATCTGCTTTGTACAGCACTCATTTTATGGAGGGTTGGCCATTAGAGACCCAGCATTCACTCTTCTTTAAATTGCTGGTCTTACTGATGTTCTGTTAAACTTTGTCTCTCATTTTGAGAAGTATGTTCGCATTGCATAACACTTCTGTAGTACTCCTCAATTTCAACATCATATTTTAATCTAATGTTTTATATCTTCGTCTATTGCACCATTCACTTAAACCATTGAGCTTATATTTGAATTGTCTCAATTTATGTACTGCAATCCCGTCTAACCTCACCTCAATCTCGTCCTTCTTGTAAGGGATAAATCTGTAGAGTACTTTTTAAATAGCATACAAAATGGACTAGTTCTATTCATGTTCAGGTTGTGTGTTTCCTTCTATAAACTCCGGATACATTTTTCACTCCAGGTTATAAATCGCCTAACTGGTGGAGGTGCAGACTATGCATTTGAATGTATTGGAGATACAGGAATGGTTACCACTGCTTTACAGTCGTGTTGTGATGTAAGTATGAAGACTTCATTTCATGTACTCTTCGGTATTCTCAGACATACATTTCTCTCTTTTTACCATCAACTTTGTGTCGTCTCCTGTTTGTGTTAGGGATGGGGCTTGACTGTCACACTTGGAGTACCCAAGCAGAAGCCGGAGGTAACAGCTCATTTTGGACTTCTTCTTAACGGTAGAACATTGACAGGATCTCTATTTGGAGGATGGAAACCGAAGTCTGAAATTCCTTCATTAGTTGAAATGTACCTAAAGAAGGTAGATTGTTGCACTGGTTTTCACAACTTGATGAAAAACCTTAAAACAACGCATTCATTTACTCCAAACGACTCTTCAACATTTGAATACTAAGCCATTGTGAGGTTTTGCTTGCAGGAAATCGAGTTAGATGACTTGATCACACACAATCTGCCCTTCGAGGACATAAACACAGCTTTCGATCTGATGAAAAATGGGACTTGTTTGCGTTGCGTTATACACATGCCTGAAATAGAAGGTTTTCCAATGGCTGGCAACTAGTTGAAGTTATTTCATGCTTTCTGTTACCCCAAACTATAAATAGCCAACCACAATGAACTACCAGAAAATTTTGATGTTGTACTATAGTGTATCACCGAGCGTCTTTCGAAAACAAGCTCTCTACCTCCACGAGGTAATGATAAGGTCTTGCGTACACTCTACTCTCTCTGTACCCCACCTAGTGGGATTTTACGGGGCATTTGTTGTTATAGTATAGTATAAGAAATCATTTTCCTACCTTCTGTTATTTTTTGAGAGGACAATTTATAATATCAAAATGCATTGACTGGTGAGAATTGAAATGCAATTATATGATCTCGACCATATAATATACCAAGTACACTTTTTTTGGTTCATAATAAAAGTGGATTTTTCTATCGATAATTTATTTCATTATAAAAAACTTTGGATGAACAACTTTAGAGTGATTGATGTGTCCACAAGAATTACCAAACACACGAAATAAGTCTGCAAAGTGCAATTCTCAAGGATACAAAAAGAAGTATGAAGTTTGTGAGATTGTAGCAAATCTTTAGGGTGTTTCAACTTTTGGTTAAGAATAAATCTAAATCAACCGTATCAATTAAATAAATTGATTTTGTTTTAATTTGATTTTAAACTTTAAAAAATTGATAACATTCTCTTTTATTTCATAAAAAATAAACTCAATAAAAAATTAAAAATCAAACCAAACTAATAAATATATATATATATATAATTTATTAGCAAATACATATAAATCCAACTAGCTTCAACTTTTCTCTCTTTGATACTCTCTGCAGAAGCTGCGAGCATTTTCCATAGTGATTTTGAGTTCGAATTGGAGAAATAGTTTTAAAATATATCGTCAATGTCGACGGAGGAGGAAAACGCCATTGAGGCGGCGGCAGCGGCGCGAAGGGAGAGGCTGAGAGCCCTCAGAGAAGCTCAAGAACTTCTTCAAACCCCTGACGATGATGGTAACAAGACTAAAGAAGAGGAAGACGAAAAGTAAGCACTACCCGTTTGTTTATCCCTTTATTCTTAGTTAATTTGATGTTAATTGAAAAGTTGATGTTACCGTCGATTCTGTGTTCTGCAAAGATACCTTGCATTCTAGCTTTTTAGTCTGTAAGAGACAAATCCTCTCGTATTGGACCCGAATAGGGGTTTGAAGCCCTAGCTCACTTGTTGAGCTCTAGGTCTCCGCAGTTGTGGTGGAAGCCTCCCCACCCCTCCGCTGAAGTAATTTTAGAAACAATAGACCTGAATAGAGCAGAATGGAGAGGTTTCAAGTCCCTCCTTTTGCTTCTGGCTTTGTATTTAGTGATAACAATTCCAGTGCATAAGCTACTTTATAGATAGGGTGAACAGCAAGGAGCCCACTTACAGGAAACTAAATCTGTCTGACTAATATGTGGAAAGGGCAAGCGAAAACTGACTTCTGAACCAAGGGTATATCGGAAACGGACTTCTGCTCCACAGAGGTAGGGGTAAGGTCTATGTACAGTCTTACACCCATCCTCCACAGATCCCATTTGTGAGATCTCATTGAGTATATTGTTGTAGTGTACTTATGAATAGAGCAGGCGAATTGAGTTTACCAAAAATTGACTCAGGACTAGTTTTGGCATAATATTGATTGGTTGATATATATTACAGTGATGTCCAAATGAAGTTCCGCAATTACCTGCCACATGACAAGCAGCTTCAAGAAGGCAAAGTCACTCCGCCAGTACTTCCAAAGTTCGAAGATCCTATTGCGACTCTACCTCCTCCCGAAGAGAAGAAAGAGGTGCTTCAGTGATTGCACTATTTATTTCCTTCTGTTTTCTTCCTCATTCATATTAGTTGTGTTTACTGTCATGACTTTTCTTTGGTTGAATTTTATCAGGATCCATTTCTAAATATTGTCCCCAAGAAGCCAAATTGGGACCTGCGACGGGATGTGCAAAAGAAACTTGACAAGCTTGAGAAACGTACCATGAAGGCACTCACTCAACTTATGGGTACGTCTTTTCTGCTCATTTTGTGTTATTTGACTCTCAAGTATGTAATGGCCATGTTCCATAGCATTTAATTTTTTTTTGGTTAAGTCTTGTCCCATAGAATTTGTTAAAAGTAATTTAAATTGAAAAAGGAAAATCATGTGATTACATTTTCATCTCTTGAAGAAGTCTTAGCTGAGATTGTTCCTTGAGTTTGTTCCTTGTACTTCTGTTGTTTGTAAGAGTAAGAACATCTGACTGGACATGACACAAATAACTATTTCAATATATATCTTCCTTCATAAAAAACTCTCATGATGGCCCATTTGTACTCCCAGTAGGTTTACTTGCAGCGGTTGGGACTTTGCTTTGGCAAGCTATTAAATGCACCACTTGGATGCTCCTTTGTGAATTGAGAGAACTCCAGTAGCACTGATCTGTGAAGTTGTTCTGACAGTAGACTCTTAATAAACATTACATACAGAAATAAATATGGAATAGGAGTGACATGCTCTTATAGCTATACGTATGTCATGACATATTTACGTGCACAAGTTTTAAGGATACCTGTGCTATGTTATGTATATTCAACTTATGTGTCAAAAGTCTATTTTTTCTTAAACTCCATTCTCAATTAAACACTTGAGGAGTATGTCTTTTCAATTTTTATTTTTTTTTAGAAATTTGGTGTCTTTTCAATTTTTATTTTTTTTTAGAAATTTGGTATAGCTATAAATTTATCCGGAAATCTAACAATGGTTCAAGTAAGTTCGGTTCAATAGGCTTGGCCAGTTTCTAAAGTTTTTTTAACGTTCCTAGGTAGTGCTGCATATGGTTACTCCGTATTTTTTAGTCTTTTGGCTCCTTCAATGTTGGTCATTATGGTTCCCTCTATATTGATGACACTTTCTGTGTTGATCCACTTTTGATTCACCTCCGTTGTGCTCGGCTATTTTCAATCAGTGTCTATAATGCAGCCTTTTGGTGCTCTGAATCTTGAAAATGGGCTACGCCTTTGGTCCCACATATTTTTCTAGGGTTATAGCTCATTAGGTAACTGTGGATCATTTAGTAAGATCTTCTTCTAATCAAATTGGGTTTCCTTGGAGCCTTTCTCTTCTAAGCCTGGTTGTGAGTTGTGACCCCCCTAATTGTTTCCAAGTTATATAGCTTATTTTTTTATGAATAAAAGTAATTTATTACTAATATCTTAGTACCAAGGTGGTACTAAGCGAGTACAAAAAGAAAGCTGGATAGAATCCTTAGTAGCCGCAAGGATTCCCAGAAAATCAGCTTCAGTGCAAGAAAATGTAACTATTAACACAAACAATAATCTTTTAAACAAAAGAATAGAGAAAGCTATAGTTAAGTTGTACTCATCAAATCATGTCAATCAAGCTAGAAAAATATTTTAAGGAATGTTGATCTATATTTTAAAGTATTTTTTTGCTAGTCCTAATCTCTGATGTTTAGTCATAACGATTTCTTAACCATTAATGTATCACTTTGTTTTATATTACTACATAGTTATGAGCTCTTAATGACATAGCCCATCAGTGAAGGGCCAAAGAAATGCATTCTTTGCTCAACCTAGACTTAGTGAGATTTATGGCGTAAACATGCTTTAAGCGGGCCTTTCAGCAATATTGTCTGCAAGTGATCCCGATGATAGCAAAAAGATAGCAAAAAGAATAATTGTGGCATTAATTTTGCACTCCACGTTCTGCCAATACATCTTATTCTTTAGCACCTGTGGAGGGTTGAATACCTATCACTACGTTTTTAGGCAAGTCAGCTTTCTACTTAAAGTCTAGCAAACATTTGGCCTAGATTGAAGTGCTGTAGTTGTATCAGACAAGAGTGCATGTCCAGTTGGAGCCACTATTGACTTTAGAGATGCCATATGAAACCAATACAGAATTAACATTGTCTAATCCAAATAATTCTGGAATACTCTCCCTTGCTTTACTTAATTCCTTTGTATATTAAAAGTTAAAGGGGAATCTTAGTATTCTAGTTGAGTGGGTCGTAGGGGTCGATCCCTACTTTGTAATCCCATCCCAGATTTCCCCATTCCCCTGTGCAATTTTCTTAAAAACAAAAGTGTGATCAAGAAAATGCATTTGGCAGCCCCCAAGGCCTAGCTCGAGTGGCAAAAGTGGAGGATTTGTGGCTTAGGTAGCAGGTTCAAGCCCCACAAAATGCAAAGTGAAGTCCGGTATTTAAGTGGAGAAGGGTAGAGCGGTGGGTTCATTATCCACCGAGTTTAGAAGGCTGTGATTGATCCAAAGGACGGGTGATAGACGGATTTCTCGGTTATAAAAAAAATGCATCTTTGGCAGATTATGGAATAGTTCTCTTGAGAATCCAACCTGGAATGCTTTTAATCTTATCTTGATCTTTTACCTAGGTTTGAAGGTCTATTTATTCTTTTTCTTTTTTAAATGAATAAGATTGAAGCATATTATTTTATTGATTTTGAGGCAATTGTTTCATGTGTTAGTTTTGTCCCAGCTACCCAACTTCGAATTTTTCTTGACTTGTCTACATTGATATTTTGTAGAGGAAGAAGAAAAGAAGAGGAAAATAGCTGAAGAAGAGGATACTGAAAATGGTGGAGATTAGATAGATCTTCACCAATAATACAATACATTGTGGTTTTGGACAAGTGCTGTATGAGTATTATATTTATTACATCTAGTCTTTTTGACTGTGAGACGTTGTAGCGAGTGTTGTTAAAAATATGAATACAGGTTAAATGTCCAGAATATATTCGTAAACTTTTGCCAAATACGAGAATCATCTGATCTTTTTTATATACTGATTATACTAAGAGAAAATAAACTAGCCTCTCAACATTTGTAGATGCTGAGAATTGTATGCTTCGCCCCCGTTGGGACACTTATTATGTCCTTTTGGTTCCCCTCGAAGAAATAGCTTATGTACATACTAGGTAAATACTTACTGACCTTGACCAACATGGTAGTATCATTCACGACTTATTTTAGTTAAGACTAAAGTTTGAACAACTCTTTTATTATTCAAATTGACGATATCCATAGGCTCTTGATTAGCCAAACTAATCATAAACTTCCTAAATAGGCAGATGAAGAGAAGTGGAAACCATTTTTGGCTTCCGTTCAAAGGAAAACAAAAAGAATGGGGGAGTTTGTCAGACAGCCATGAGACCATCTTAGGCTTGAGATCAGGTCTAAGAACGATCATCTACTGCAACCAACCACAACTTGAGGAGCCATGGATGACTGTTAATCACGCTCTGGTCACATGGCAGATGAAGAGAAGTGGAAACCATTTTTGGCTTCCGTTCAAATGGAAAACAAAAAGACAGCCATGAGACCATCTTAGGCTCGAGATCAGGTGTAAGAACGATCATCTACTGCAACCACAGCTCAAGGAGCCATGAATGACTGTTAATCACGCTCTGATCACATGGCAGATGAAGAGAAGTGGGCTTCCGTTCAAAAGGAAAACAAAAAAAATGAGAGAGTCTGTCAGACAGCCATGAGACCATCTTAGGTCTGAAATTAGGGTCTAAGAACGATCATCTACTGTAACCACAGCTCGAGAAACCATGGATAGCTGTTAATCACGCTCTGGTCACATGGCAGATGAAGAGAAGTGGGCTTCCGTTCAAAAGGAAAACAACAGCTCGAGAAACCATGGATAGCTGTTAATCACGCTCTGGTCACATGGCAGATGAAGAGAAGTGGGCTTCCGTTCAAAAGGAAAACAAAAAAAATGAGAGAGTCTGTCAGACAGCCATGAGACCATCTTAGGCCTGAGATTAAGGGTCTAAGAACGATCATCTACTGTAACCACAGCTCGAGAAACCATGGATAGCTGTTAATCACGCTCTGGTCACATGGCCATGCTTCATCAACCAGACTTGGATTCCTGTCTCCTTAGAATTCAAGGATACAATGGTACGAGCCTATAGAACAGATCCTGTTCAAGTAAGGTCGTGACCGTTGATAGTGGATAGATTCTTATAACGCTAGAGTTTATGTGCTGCACTGCCGATGTGGGAACAATATATTGGCCCCTGACACACCTACGCCGACTACAACGCAATATCTCTAAGGCTAAAGTGCAATTAAAGTAATAAAATTTATGTCGTATTTCAGTTTTTTATTTGTTATAGAAAAAATAACAATTACGCATTAATTTATATTTTTAACGTGTGGACAGTTAATTTCGTAGAAACCGTTCCAATTCCCAGTAGGAAAAACTCCATAGCAGTTGCCATGAACTCCATAATAATTCACTTGTAAAGTTTCATAGTTTCTCATTCAATTCAATCTTCAGTAGAGTCTGAAAATAATGGCTCCAATCAAAGTGACAGTAAGTAATTCAGAGGAACGCCACACAATGCTCTCAGAGTATATAAAATCAATAGCATTCAAGAAACAACAGATAACAAAAGTATTCCAAAAGGGGGATAAAATTGAAGTGGCAAGTCAAGTATATGGCTTCGTAGGTTCTTACTACGAAGCAACTATTGTTTCTTCAATTGGCGCTTACCATTACAAAATCAAGTACAAGAATCTGTTGACTGATGATGAATCTGCACCACTGGAAGAGATGTTCACTTCAGCCGCGATCCGCCCTGTTCCGCCTCATCGAGATGAAACAATGTCAGAAAACGGATTCCGTCTGTACGATATGGTTGATGTGTTTGCCAACGATGGATGGTGGTTTGGATTTATCAGTGGGAAAATCGGAGAAGAGCACTATGTCTACTTCCCTACAACTGCAGATAACATTGCATACCCTCGCGATGTATTGAGATTTCATCAAGAATGGTCTAATGGCAAGTGGATATTTCTTCCAAGACCATGAAAGATTTTCGATTTGCACTGATCATGATTTACAGTAATGTGATATGAAGTTACTGAATCTTTCTCCTTTATGTTAAGAAGAATAATTCAAGTTTAGTCCCAAAAGATTTCTATTGAGGAAATAGTGGATGAAATATTTTGTAGTTTATAGTGAGAAACAAGAATCTATGATTTGTTACTTTGTTTTTAGCCTTGAATTGAGCTAGGGATGCATTTATGCTCAAGAATTTAGTTATAAGGTACTCTCTATCCCTATTTATTTGTCTATATTTCTTTTTATATATGTCCATATTTACTTGTCCATTTTAACAAATCAAGAAAACACAACAATTTTTTTCCTAATATGTCCTTATTTAATTCTAGAAAATTTCTAGTACTACTAAGTTTTAATATGCTTTTTTGGAACCAGAAAATATATTTATTATACTTGAGGAATTGCATAATTTTTCAAATTAAAGATAAAATTATAATGAACCTATGATAATAATTGATGCCTTAATGTGCGTGACATTTCTAAAGTGAATAACGAAATAGGAACAGAGGGAATAGTTCATAAGCGAGTATAACTAGCCCCTTAATATTAGTAGATGCTGAAAATTGTATGCTTGGACCTGTTGAGATACATTGCATGTCCTTTTGGTTCATCTCAGCTAAATATTTGCTCGCTATACTGACCTTGACCAACATGATAGTATCATCACTATTTCTCTAACTCCGTTAAAAGTCGAGTATCATCACGAGCACGAGAACAAAAAGAAGATGA